CCCCAAAAACACCATATAAGGCTATGATTCCTGCCTCACATACAAGGAAGTGTCCATTCATTCATGAGAAATGACAGCGGTGGTCTCAGTTGCGGTTCTGAAATAAGCATTTTAAAAATGTTTTCAAAATAAGTCTGGCACTTTGGAGAAAATCAAGGACTCGCTGGAGGGATTATGTATCCCCTCTGTCCTGGGAACGTCTCAGAGCAGGACGAGCTGGAAAGTGTCGCAGCGGAGTGCGCGGGGTCTTTCTCCAGACTGACTGCTCGTAAAATATACGACAGGTCTGGACCACTCGTAAATTTTGTTCGTATCTGAAAAAAATCTTAGAATATGAAAACATTGGTGAATGCCACAAATTCTCCTAAATCACTCGTGCACACAATTTTAGAACAAATCTGTGCGTATGAACGGTTCTTGCATGAGGCCCACTGATTCAAAATGAAACACTCAAAAGATAAAGCACACTATTTGAGAAAGATTCAGTTCTTYAGAGTTTTCCACAAAATGTTCTAAATGTTTGTGATTAAAGGAATAATGTTCCTCACATCTAAAACCGAACAGACTCATAATAAAGCTGTGCTTAAAGCTGTTCTGGAGCCCCTAGAACTGACTGTAAATAAGGCGCACAAGCTCATCAGCATAATAGCCGTTTCAAACTCAACACTAAACTAAATAAACRGAACTATTAGAAGTTTCTTCAGATCTGCTGCAAACAGGATCAGTACAGAAGGTCACGTCTGCCCACTGCAGTAACCTTTCCCATTGACTCTCTGTGCCGAGAAGGCGCTGCAACCTATAATGTATGTGCATTTATTTTAATGTATTAGTCAACTTTTATACGGTAGACTTTCTTAACTTGCACGACAACAGCCGTGCATTTTGAAAACGACCTTGTTTCGGGTTAAAACAATCAGAAAGCGCTGTTCAGATGAAGGCGTATCAACCGCAGAACAGCCTCGCTCAAGTTAAATCATGTGCACATGGTGAATTTAATTTGATGATACAAACGCGACAACGTGCACGTCGACATCAAATGGACCGGATTCACTCACTTCTGTTCGAAGCCCAATATCAGCCTGTCGTCCAGAATGTTCTCCTCGGGCTCCCAAGTGCTGTGTCTAAAAGCGTGGAAAAAGGACACAAATGGATTTTCTCCACCAAGATAGATTTAATCCACATCCTAGCTGAATGCCAGATAAACATATAAAATGCAGCTTTGTCTCAAAAAGACTGCGACAGTTGCATTAACCCTGCTGCTGTACTTGGGTCAGGTCAAAGCAGGGGGGTTTACCTTTAAATCAAAACATGGAGTTCCACTTACTTCATTGCCCATCCTCTCCACTTCACCAAATATTCAAGTCTTCCCTGCAGGAGGAACAAACAGATGGTGGATTATAAAAATGATAAGACGTGGAACAAAGACTTTAAAATATCCCTAAAATATCTGACGACTTCAAGATTTCGTCATTTAAGTGGGATTTATTGTACCTAATGATGCAAAAATAAGCAAATGAAGTCTGCATATATTACATGCTAAACACCATCAATAATATATTATTTTTATTAAACACCTAYTACAGCATGCATTTTCTATTTTAGCACCAAAAAAAAAACTCTCTTTCTGAAACTTTTTCATTTGTAAAGTTGAAAAATGGGGCGAAGACATAACTTTGGTTTCAAGGTGAAGGCATRATGGGTCCTATCTATAGGGGGTCTTATGGGGTGCCATTTGTAAAGTTACACAGTCAAAAATTACCACCAATATTTTTGTTTTATTTAGCCTTTTCTAAGAAAAAAATGAACAGATTTTCTTTCAAAGTCAGTTTTTCACCATAAGAGTCATACATTTATAAATGT